TTAAATTCCAGTGAAATATATTTATGTTTGTGGTTGTAATGTGACAAAATATGGAAAAGTTCAAGGGGTATGAATACTTTTGCAAACCACTGTATATAGCGCCTTTCTATCCATCCAGGACACTCAAAGCGCTTCACACTACAGACCCATGCACACACACATTCACACACTGATGATGGCAAACTACAATTGTAGCCACAGCTGCCCTGGGGCGCACTGACAGAGGCGAGGCTGCCATACACAGGCGCCACCGGACCCTCTGACCACCATCAGTAGGCAAGGCGGGTAAGGTGTCTTGCCCAAGGACACAAYGACTAAGTCGACTGGATGGGGATCGAACTGGCGACCTTCCGSTTCCAGGACGACTCCCCTAACCTAACATGGCCAAGACGATCTGCTGCAGTTCAAACTGAGCTTCAGAATGTGGAAGAAAGGTGATTTAAGTGACTTTGAATGTGGCATAGTTGTTGGTGCCAGACGGGCTGGTCTGAGTATTTCAGAAACTGCTGATCTACTGGGATTTTCACCCACAGCCATCTATAGGGTTTACAGAGAATGGTCCGAAAAAGAGAAAATATCCAGTGAGCGGCAGTCCTGTGGGCGGAAATGCCTTGTTGATGCCAGAGGTCAGAGGAGAATGGCCAGAATGATTTAAGCTGATAGAACGGCAACAGTAACTCAAATAACCACCCGTTAAAACCGAGGTCTTTAGAAGAACATCTCTGAACGCACAACACGCCCAACCTTGAGGTGGATGGGCTACAGCAGCAGAAGACCTCACCAGGTGCCACTCCTGTCAGCTAAGAACAGGAAACTGAGGCTACAATTCACACAGGATCACAAAACTGAACAATAGAAGATTGGAAAAACGTTGCCTGGTCTGATGAGTCTCGATTTCTGCTGCAATATTCGGATGGTAGGGTCAGAATTTGGTTTCAACAAGATGAAAGTCTGGATCCCTCCTGCCTTGTATTAACGGTTCTGGCTGCTGGTGGTGCAATGGCTTGTGGGATATTTTCCTAGCACACTTTGGGCCCATTATTACCAATTGAGCATGGTGTGAACAACAAAGCCTACCTAGGGATGGGTACCAATTTCGATACTTTTATAAGTACCAACCAAATTCTGTCGGTAATACCGAGTATCTATTCACGTAACATCAAACAGTACCATGTTTTTTTAGTACCTAAACGCATCGTTGTGACCGTATTGGCGTAAGAGTGGTGGGTTTTCCATGCTTGTTCTGAATGCAGCATCACGTAAGAGCGTTATGACGTCAGCAGCCGCTGGTTCAGTAGAGTTCGGTGTAGCTTGAAAGCCTTGCAGCTCCTGGAGTGAAACTCACCGAACAGACCGCCTCTGAATTATCTGGTGGATTAATTATCTTGTGAGCACGATGTTCGCTTGCTCAAAGTAAATAAAGTACCCCCACTTTCTTTATTTCATCCGCCATTAAACAGAGACTGGCAGAGGAAAACAGCAGAGGAAAGTGCGAACGCGTCTGACCTGTAAGAGCACAACCCAACTTGAAGTGTTGGATGTATTTTGGATGCTCAAAACGTAGCTTGAATACCTTTTATTTATTTTAACTCCATCCTCTTTTGCTTATTTGATTTAAACTTATTTGCCTTCTATGGACCCCCATCACAATTTTTGCAGCGGGAAAATGACATCAATAGAAACACGTGGAGCTGGATTTTAATTTGTACAAAAAGACAAAACAGTCTTGTTGTTTTCAAGAGTTTTCAGTTTAAAGAAATTAGTTAAACAACTGATGTTACAATACARAGAGTTGGATGTCGAAAAAAAAGTTTGTCATTAAAAAGACAACACACACAAAGTACTGAAAATTAGTACCTTTTAAGTACCGGTACCGATTCCCAGATACTGGATATTGGTACTGAATCAATTCAAATGTCAAAGGTACCTATCTGTAAGCCTACCTGAGTATTGTTGCTTGACCATGTCCATCCCTTTATGACCACAGTGTACCATCTTCTGATGGCTACTTTCAGCAGGATAACACACCATATCATAAAGCATGAATCATCTCAGACTAGTTTCTTGAACACAATGAGTTCACTGTACTCAAATGGCCTCCACAGTCACCAGATCTCAATTCAAATAGAGCACCTTTGGGATGTGGTGGAACAGGAGATTCACATCATGGATGTGCAGCAACAAATCTGCAGCAACTGTGTGATGCTATCATGTCAATATGGACCAGACTCTCTGAGGAAGGTTTCCAATACCTTGTTGAATCTATGCCATGAAGGATTAAGGCAGTTCTGAAGGCAAGATGAGGTCCAACTCGGTACTAGCAAGGTGTACCTAATAAAGTGGCCAGTGAGTGTCTATTTAATTTATGATTAAAAATAAAACCTAAATGTAATCCCCTTACATCGCCCTGTTTTCCCTGTCATTCTCCAATGAGAACCTCCCCACCCACACAAAGTTCTGCTACTTCCTAACGGGGAGTGGAGAACGTAGGCACCAAACAAAACAACCACCAGCAGTGGTAACTCTTTTCAACATAAATATCCATTATAATACATTTCCATTTGTCTTTAAAATGTGTTGCCTATTGTGAAAGAGAAAAAAATATATTATTCAGAAAAAGAGTTTACTCCGTTTTGTTGAAATAATAAACAACTGCTTATCTGGTTAAACAACAGAATCAAATAAGCTTAAATATATATATTTTTTACATTCGAGCTTTTGCTGTTGTGGCGTCCTTGAAATTTCTGTGTAAAACGCTAACAAAGCCATCAAAGACATACAAAAACGAGTACACCAGAGTGGGTGGTCCCTCTCTGGCAGTGGCTTCTGGTAGCTGTCATTCCATCACTTTTAGTCCTTTCAGCACTGCAGACCACCCTCAATCCACTCACCCTGTCCTGGCCTTTGCAAAGTAGCTGAAGACGTGACTTTTACCCGTACAGCTTTTGTGCAGCACACCTGAGAAAACACACCTGATTATACAAACACACCTCTCCAGGAAGCTCTCAGGTCCAGTTTGAATACATTTTGTGTTTTTGGGCGTCGGTCAGCATCCTTATCAATAAGTGTTTTTTTAAAGCTTTCCACAGGTGCAGCAACATTAAAGCATCAACTTACCCATCCAACTGAATTAAAAACATAGCTGTTATATGTAAATGATTGCTCCTCACTTATGTTTTGACATCTCTGCTGCTTTGACTGATTTTAATATATTATGGTTCTAATCAAAGAATGCAAGCATCCATATTCTCACTCATATAGACATTGATTACTTTACAGAGGCTTCAGTCAAAAGTTCCTCTTCCTATATGTGCATTTGGCCACTCACAGAACACCAAAAATATTTGAGACATCTGCATATTTATTTACCCTTTATTAATTTGGCTTTAATGAAACGGTTAATGGTGAAACTGGAACAGGGCAGGCATTTACCTAGCTGTGATTGAAGTGATGGTCAGTCCCCCCATGTTGCTTACATTGGACCCAGACTCAGATTAGAATAATATAAGCACATAAGCCTTTGCTTGTTTCTCGCCTCCTCAAGGACGAACTCCTCACAGCTACTGCCCCCAACCCCTATTTTTGAATTATGTAATTGCACATTCTGCATCACACTTCCTATCTGACCATATTTCAGAAAAAGCATATTTGAGGTTGTTTTTTTTTTACCCTCATGAGGGGTATGATTGATCCGAACCTTGCCTTTCCAATAGGAGCAAGTCAGTAGGCTCCATGTAGCCAAAACCACACCCTCCCACCTCCTCCTTTTTAGCTTGCAGATGTGAGGCAGGAAGAGGGAGGGGGGCTTTACTTTGACTGGAGTTGAGTTGAGTACAGAGACCCCTCTCAGGGCTTTTGCTGCCCGTAAAGGTAAAAGAAAACATTAAATAAATACATTTCACAGGAAAGCTAAATCCAAACCAAAATGAATCACACTTATGGGAGAGACATAAAAAAGCAAATGYGCCTTTCTGAGTAGAGTATTTGTCTTTTACTACGTTCAGTCTCATTTTCAGCAAGTAATGATACACATACTCAGAATGAAGTCATGTTTTAAGTTCCTTTGTAGCTTGTATAATCTGGACATTGATTGGTTATTTTTAAATTACATTGTGACTGAATAACAAATGTGTAGAGCTGGTATGAATCTGTTTTGTTAAATACTGACTAGATGATTGTGATGATTTATAACACTGTAACTAAAAGGAAACACATTACAGATATTTAAAAATTAGCTCTTGCCCTCTACTGTAATGGCAGTTACAGTAAACGCATGCAACACGTATGAGTTTCAGTGAAAGTTGAGTTCACTGTGTGCAGCCATTAATCTTAAAGTCTKCTATGAAAGCATTAAACTCATTACAACCCTGTCTGTTAGCAGATTTTTTGCAGTCGTGTTTCAGAGGCCTTTTTTCCACCCAGGTGTYTGACTCCAGCAGATACTGCATCCTGCAAACACAAAGCGGGGAGTGCAATGACATCAATTYGCATTTGTAATTTCATTGATGTAGTTGGTTAAACTTACTCTCCATTTGAATCCTTAGTGGCGCCATCTTTGCCCATAATGAGATATTGTTTTTTTAATTCTAGCTCCCCTTTACACTGAAGCCTCCTGGCAAACACTCGGACAGAATTGGCATTTACACGACGATCTCCATCTGGTAAACAAATTATAAACATTATATTTATTAAAAGTTCTCAAAAATGAATTATAACAGAATCATCTGTCTTGAGCCATCACCAAGTTATGTGKCTGCTTTACTTACCAAAACTGAGGACCTCCTTTATGTTAGCTTTGTACAGCTCAAAGTTGCTCTTAACAGAAACACTCTGGATCTCAGCAATGTATGCTGAAACACAAAGAATCAACTCTCAATAATACATATGCAATTGAACCATTATTAAAAAAGATAAAATCCTTTAATTAATGGCAGTATAATGTATTGTGTAAGTTACTGACCATAATCCGCTTTTGGGTAGAAGCAAGCATGTTCTGCTCGCTTTGCCTTCGTGATTCTTTCACCTCTCTTGGATTTGAATGTATCCTGCAGTTTATGACAGGGCCCTAAAAGGAAGAACAAATAACAGCTACAGTTATTTACACAAACCTGAATCTTACTGTTTTTATTTTCAGACAGTAGTACAATTTAAAATTAATCCAACCTAATTTGAAAGAGTACTTTTCCCAGTCTGATTCAGCATCCTGTAAACTAAGGAAATTGAGAGATGTTTGCAAGGGAACTTATTAAGTATTGGTTTGTAAATTACTTGAGGATTGTTCAGCACCATGTTTCTGATTTAATGTAGCTTTTTAGATGCTGGGAGCAATTTCAAATTACCTTATGTCTATGTACAGTGACCAAGTAATTACATTATAATTGTTTGACTGCAGAAAGGACAATTTATGCACTACTAGGAATTATGTACAATTCAATAATATTCAATATAGCTATATGGTAACCCTTTCTTTTACAGTCCCCTAATTACCATGCAATTACCTAGTATTTACATGCTAAATTAAAACATTTTACTATGCAGCTACTTTGTAATTACAATAATTCCTCATGTAATTACTTTGTAAGAACATATGTTTCTATTTGTTTGTATTCTTTTGGTTAATAATATATAGCTAATTAAGGCACTAYTGAACTGTGATTTGATTGTAGTTAACCCAATAAAAGTAGTTTTACTAATAGTTTACTGGTAGTTTATTGGTAAGTATAGACTTTATAATAACATGGTAATTAGGTACTGTAAAAATATAAATTTGGCAATTTTTTTGGCAAATAGTGGGTAATTGACAAACTCTTGAATTTTAATTGGAATAGAATTACCCACTAAAATTAATTTAACTACACAGTATTTTTAATATGTTCTTACCAAGTAATTACATGTACATTACTGTAATTACCACCCAAGTAATTGTTTAGTAAAATGATATTACTTACCATGTAAATGCTAGGTAATTGCATGGTAATTAAAGGACTGTAAAATAAAGGGTTACCTAACTTGGATATATA